GGACTATAGTCACTAGTTTTACCAGCATGGATTCATTGAATACTTAATTTACCTTTCTAAAAAACTGTCGAATATCCATGCTGTCGACTCAACCTGACTTTCGGCAATGAACTGTCAGTTGTTGCGTTAGCATTTGATGTGGCGATGGTGACAGACACGTCAAATGCTAACGCAACACCTGTTGCGTTCAGGAAACCTGGGAGATTTAACATTACAATAATGGCAGGTTATCGAAATATAATTTAAAATGGCCACATTACATTGAATTTGATGCAATATATTAGCAAAAGTACAGGAAAAATAAATAATACTTTTTTTAAAATAATGCAATGAAATTATTTAGGGGGGCTAAAGACATTTTTAGGGAGGCTGAAGCCTCCCTAAAATAGGCCTAATGACGCCCATGCCGAGCTACATAAACTTGAATGGAACTATGCAAACAGATTTCTTTTATTGACGGAACCGGTACACTTCACATTATTTTACATGTTGTCATGTACGATCATACAACACCTTTAAAAAGCTTATTTCTCGACAAGTTTTATTTGTAGTTGATCCACGTCAAATTATGAGAAGCATCCTCAGTATTACGGATTCTCCGTTAGAAGAAAAACATTGGTTTAAAAAAGATTTTTTTTTTCCTGGCTGAACCAGGACAATTATATAAGCCCATTCCTGTCAGCTTTTTTAAAATTTCATTTCTTAACTGTCGGCAGGCAGACACCAGGCTCCAAAGTAAACTTAGGATACGTCTATTCATCGGTACAACTGCAGAAATGTGCGCCCCTTTAAGACACAAGAGTGTGTGTGTGTGTGTGCGGGGGGGGGGGGGGTTAACTCTTGCAGAAATGGTGGGAAATATAGTTAAAAGTATTGAAAACATGAGAAGGATCAACACATCAGGAGTGCGATTTGACGTTTGAATGCATCACATTCTCGTTAAAAAAAACGTAATTGACAGAAAAGTAAGATTAGTTTTGCAAATCTCGATAATATCACTTGCTTATTAGTCACTAAGACGGTGACCAATTTTAGCGAGAGACAAAGAAAACACATTTGTGAATTGTATTGAAATTCCTTGTCATACTTGACGGTTGATCTATTCTTACCGTTATTCATTCATTCATTTTCCGAACCGCTTGATCCTCACTAGGGTCGCGGGGGGTGCTGGAGCCTATCCCAGCCGTCTTCGGGCAGTAGGCGGGGGACACCCTGAATCGGACGCCAGCCAATCGCAGGGCACACAGAGACGAACAACCATCCACGCTCACATTCACACCTAGGGACAATTTAGAGCAGTCAATCAGCCTACCATGCATGTTTTTGGAATGTGGGAGGAAACCGGAGTACCCGGAGAAAACCCACGCAGGCCCGGGGAGAACATGCAAACTCCACACAGGGAGGCCGGAGCTGGATTCGAACCCGGTACCTCTGCACTGTGAAGTCGACGTGCTAACCACTGGACTACCGGGCCGCCTTCTTACCGTTATGTAATTTGTAATAAAAAACTTTGACGTTTTTCATTGGGATGTGTGAATGGGTTTGGTGGTGGTGGTGGTGTCAAAGGAGGAGGGGACTCACGTAGGGCACCATAAAATCAAGGATGACCATTGGTTCTCTTGACAATATGCTGAGCAGCAAAATTCACATTTTAGTAAGGTACAATAATGCTCAAATTGATCCAGGAATGAATGAGGCACTAATAAGTTGTTATAAGTAATTATTTTAAATAGTATTTTAAAAAATTAAAAGACAAAAATATTCATAAGCGCTTTATTCAGATGCATTAGAGGGCTGACCTTTGAAGTCTGTCGACAATAGCAAACTTAAGCAGACATGACAACAGGAGAGATTGCAGTATTGTGACGACTCCAAATATTACAGCAGGTGCTTCAATTACATTTCGATGCTTCAACTCCAGATATCAAAGTTAGACTTGAGCAACAAATTGACTACTTTATAAAATTTTGAAGGATATTCTGAAACATTACATCTTGATCTGCAAAAGGGTGATGGATAGGATGTGAGTCATTGATCAAACGATGAGGGTCCAGTTGAAAATGAAGATTAAAATGTATACTTGCTGACAAACAAGACCCAACAAACATGATCACAGAACCAAATCAACAAAAAAAATCTCAATGAAACAATATTTTTCTGTATCAGTAATTGAGCAACGCAGCCTTTGACATCATTAAAAAAAACAAAACAAAAAAAAAAAAAGGCAGACCTCACAATTGACCACTGACATAAATGCTTCTCAGGCCTTCTTCAAGGAGGGAAGAGTGAGTACGTTACACAGAGGTGCCCTCTGCAGGAACGCCTGTTTTGTTGTCATCGGGCTTCATGGCTGGGAAGAGCAACACCTCCTGAGAAAGAACACATAATAAAACTGTTCGTCTTTTCATAAAATATGATCGCCTTCAGGAACTTGTCAAAAAGATTGATTTAAGATCAGAGAGGTTATGTGGTTCTTGACATTCCTCTTTCTCCCCCATTATGGAGTCAAAAATGGGTGTCAGCATTTCTTCACTGCGTTACCTTGATGTTATTGGAGTCTGTGAGGAACATGGTGAGACGGTCGATGCCCATTCCCCATCCAGCTGTTGGTGGGAGACCATATTCCAGTGCTGTGCAGAAGGTCTCGTCGATGAACATGGCCTCGTCGTCACCCTCGGCCTTGGCCTGAAAAATATTGGAGGGAAATATTTTCTTGTCAGGCACTCACCACGAGTAGACCTCCATTTCTTCACCTTTCAAGTGGAACTCAACTAAAAAATGTTTTTTTACAATAATATGTTAATATGCGCCTTCACTAAGCTAAACATGACATTTTGATTCATAATGTGTTTATGGAATCTGAGTTAAGCAGTAAAATCCACTCGTTCTTAGCCATTTCAGGTGGGAGCCATTTTGCCACTTGTTGTCGACTGAAAACGTCGTCACAGTTGCTCTGAACTGTGATTGAACATTTTCTCATTAAAAAAAAAAGAGAAAAAAGGGGGTTCACGTCCCCTTTACTTCATTAAAAGCAAGCCAAATTGTGTTTTACTAAAACAAACAAACAAAAAACCCCTACAATATTGTGCATTAGAAAAACATACAGTAGTAACAATTAAATAATTTAACATAAGAAGGTCACAAGTGTAGCATTTCTGTCTACGTGTGTTGCTCCGTTTGTATTCAAATAACCATTGCTCAAAAAGGTTATAACATCGCGACACTAATGCTATTCATTAGCCCATCTATGGAATTTTGCATAGTGCGTTTGCATTAAGCTTGCGGTCTTTCTAAAGAAAAACGTATGAGGTTGTTTTGATTACACAACATGTAATCCTCTCTGTTTTATATGTAGTCAAACAGACACGAATTACATTAAATGCCAGGCCAATTTAGTGCAAGCTAATGCTAATGTTTGCACACGTCCATCGGTACCAGCTGGAGGACTTTAACTTAACCAACAAACACATTAAATGGCAATGCTACTCGCTCTCATGGATGCATACTGGAAAAGGCACAAAAAAAAAAAAAAAAAAAAAACTCTCTTCAAACACCAACAACTTCGACGGGTCATAAATCTCTTAACAGTGCCCCACTATTAAATTGCTTAACAACCTGATCATTGTGTGTCACCCTCTCTCTCTCGATTGCAACGCCAATTGTGAGTTGAAAATATAGCACCGCACCATATTACAAAGTCCATTACACACCTTGGCTTGCTGCTCAAAAAGCTCCCTCTGTTTAATGGGGTCATTCAACTCGGTGTAGGCGTTGCAGATTTCTTTCTTCATCACGAAGAGTTCAAAGCGCTCCGTTAGGCCTTTCTCTGATCGATGCCTATTGGAAAGAACCATTTCAATTGTCAGGCAGGGGCATTTGCTAACATCTTTGAGAGAATTGCGATGTCTCCCCTCACCATTTTGCTAAGGGGCTCATGATTTGTGGGTGATCACAGATGAATGTGGGGTTGATACAGGTGACCTCCAGGAAATCTCCCACAAGCTGAGAAACAACAGAGTGCTTCAAGTCATATGTAATAATTAATAAAGTAAATAAAGCACCTTGTCAAGTAGGCGGGCAGTTGTTCTGGGTGGAGGACATTCAACTCCTTTCTGGGCACACAGGTCATCAAAGAATTTACGTGTCTCTAAAGAGTTGATGGGAAGAAAGGCATATGGACATCATTTCTGGATAATTCCTG